AAACTTTCCTGTCTTTCTATTCCGTGCTTCTTTGAGAGAGAAATTTTTTTCATGACTTGATACATGTTGTTCTTATGTTTGATACAACTTCTTGTGGCAGAACTGCGTACTGCTGTATTCTCTAAGGTAGCATTGCGAACAATTCGATTAGTATCTAGAAAGGTATGGAGCTGTTGTTTTCAGTGCTTATAGAACATTTTTCCATTTTGGAACATTATATGCTACATAGTTTTTTGCGCATCTATAAGTGGAAGCAATACTATTTTTGATGAGCTTTTCCTTATAAACACTTTCAATGTGTGTGTGTGTGTTGAAAATCATATTTCAAGTTGTATCGCTATGCTCAATTTATATTACTTTCTGTTGCAGGTGTTCTTACATTTGCATGAGCTTGACCTACGCTATCATCTAAGGTATTGCATCTACCCTGCTGATTGGATGATAATTATTACATCAAATTTTAATTTTAATAATTCAATTAGGTGTTCTCATTGCATCTGTTTTTAATTTTATGTTGAATCCACATTTTGGGTTAAAAATAACAAATGTTTGGCACTTTCCTTTTATTTATTTATTCTCTACGGCTATTATTGGCGCATGGGGAGTTTGGGGTGTTGTGCTGAGAACTGGTGAATGGAGAAGGAAAGTTGGGACATGGGAGGTTAAAGGTCGAGGCAAGTAATTTACCCTGCTGGCGCTAGGAATTCTAGGATTTTTTTTTTTTTTAAATGGTGGAAGTATCTTAGTACCAAGACTTTTGGTTTTCTATAAAACGTGCATAAAATTTATTTCTGAGAAATTTGCAAAATGAATTTCTGGGGTTTATATTCCTTTTTTTTTTTATTATGAATCTGGGGTTTATATTCTATTTATTCCTTCACATAAGAACACTCACACCAGATATTATGGGGACTCTCAAATTTGATTTGACTTTACCCACCCAGTTTACAGCATAAACATACTCTCTGTTAATATCAAATGCGGGTACAAGATATTGATAAATTCAGATTGAAATATTTTCAAAAACATCTTATTTTCCTGCTTCTGCATGACCACTATGCTTTGAATGCCTTTGTTGATATGGTTCTTTCTTTCTAACCTGACTTATTTTTCAGTCGAGAAACTGGAGCATTAAATAGAATAATTGATCGTGGTAGTCGTGCAATAAATTTTATACTTTCATCTATGGTGTTCAATGTAGTACCCACTATATTAGAGGTATGTCTCAATTATTCCCCTGTTCCTGAGTTCAACTATGCTGTCCTCAAACTATGTTATTTAAATAAATATAATATTTTGGAGGAATTGGACCTCTTACTGTGAATCACTGTTGTCTTTTTCATGTAATTGCTCTTTGCAATATTATTTTGTTCATCCCAACACTTGCTTCGTTTTCCCTAACCAACTTCTACAGATTTAATATGTATCCGTCCAGATATCTATGGTATCAGGTATACTGGCTTACAAATTTGGAGCACCTTTTGCATGGATCACATCCCTATCAGTAGCTGCTTATGTTGTTTTTACTCTGACTGTGACACAGGTATTATGTCTTGAACTGGGCATCCTTTTTTTCGTATTATTTTTAGGTGTGCAATAATTAGTAGTCTATTTCTTTTATTACCTGCCTTTTCATATCCATTACTTGCCCCATGACCGTCTCGCATTGTTTCACCATTCATTTTAATTATTTGGTAAATTCTTATTCTGTGCTGACACGCAACCATCATAGAATATCCTGATAAACGCATTAATGAATCATTTGTAAGCACTTAATTTAATAGCTCAGCGACAGATTTTTTTAATGACTGCCCAATTAACCATCCTAAAGGATATGATATTGTTTACTGTTGTCATACTTTTTTTTTTTTTTTTTCAATTTGTGAAGTATGGAAGTCATTGCCATGGATGTTGAAAACCTTCCATAAAAAAATGAAACAGAAGGACAATGTGCAAAATAAGTGGAACTCTGATTGGTTTTTTTTTCGTTTATCTATTTTTTTCATTTACATTGTAATTTTGATAAGGGGTCAATGAGTAGTAACTTGAAAATAAAATTGGGTGACAGACCATACCTCAAGTAGAAAAGTTTAGATATTTGGGAGCGATTATTCAACAAAATGTGGAAATTGATGGAGATATTGCACATAGGATACAAGCGGAATGGTTAATTGGAGAAAAGCTAAAGGAGTTATCTGCGATTGTAAGGTACCTGATAAGCTTAAAGGAAAGTTTTATTAAACTGTTATAAGATTAGCAATCTTATATGGTAGTGAATGTTAGGCTTTGACAGGACAGCAAGGGTATAAAGTTGAAGTAATAGAGATGAGAATGTTGAGATAAATGTGTGGATATACATGTAAAGACAAAATTCCAAATGAGCGAATACGGGAAAAGTGGGAGTAGCACCTATTGAAGGAAAAATGGTAGAAAATCGTTTGAGGTGGTTCGGACATATACAAAGAAGACCACGGGAGGCACCTGTGAGGAGGGTGGACTAGATGACTGAGCCTGTCAAGAGGGGTAGAGGAAGATCGAAGAGAACACTTTTGAAGTTGTTGAGCGAGATCTTTTAATTAACAATATTTTTAAAAACTTAATAAATGATAGAGCACAATGGCATCATATTATCCATGTAGCCGACCCCACCTAGCAGGATAAGGCCGCTTGTTGTTGTTGTTTGTTGTATCTACTTTTCTTTTTGTTAACGCTTTGGGTCCTTGTTACTTTTCCTCTCATTATCTTTTTTTCTGCATGCCTGGGGTTAAAAAAAGAAAATATAAATCATCAACTTGGTTTTTGCTTATGTTCGTGTCAGAATCTTTAAGTTTCCTATTTATTTATCCTAGCGTGAACCTTGCTCCCTCTAGTTTTCTACCTAAGCATGCTATACTAAGAATCTTAAGCTTCATGTCTTCTCCAGTGGAGGACTAAATATAGGAAGGCCATGAATAAAGCTGACAATGATGCAAGTACCAGGGCAGTCGATTCACTCATTAATTACGAGGCGAGGATTTTAATTGCTAGTGCAATGGTTTTTGAATTATTACTACCATTTTTCTTTTTGGCTCCATGTGATCTGGAATGATTTTTTTTGTTTTTAATTTTTTTCAGACTGTCAAATATTTCAATAATGAAGATTTTGAAGGTGAAAAATATGATGAGTTCCTAAAGAGTAAGTTAATTATTCTGATCTTTCTGGTCAAATCCATCAGGTAGAAAGATGCCTCTAGATGAATTCTAATCTATAATATTTAGTGGATCTTTCATAATCATAATTCAATATTCTTAGTATCTCAAGAACCACATATTTCTTTCTGTATTTGATTTCATTTTGTTCTAATATAACTTTCCTGCATATGAAACACTAATACATGTTAATTTTGAAAGACAATAGGACCAGTCTTTTCATTTTATAAATCTTGACATTCAAATGAAAGCATGCAGAGTATGTTGCTTATGTAAAACATCAATTTGCAGTTTTGGTTTATGAAAAAGAGAGTTGAATATATGATCTTAGTGTAAATTCAGATAGCTTCTCAAGTCTCTCTTTGTAATCCTTGCTGTTTTGCTGCTGCTGTTACTTATAATCTTGTTAATCAGGGTATGAAAGATGCTGCTCTGAAAACACAACGCAGCCTTGCTTTTCTGAACTTTGGTCAAAATGTTATATTTAGCACTGCACTTTCTACGGCAATGTGTTGTGTTCTCATGGGATTATGAATGGCCAGATGACCGTTGGTGATTTGGTAATTACATCAATTCATTTGAATTGCTCCACGATAAATTTGTGATCACTCAAATTGTTTATAATTTAATTTCTAAATGCAGGTTATGGTGAATGGGCTCCTCTTCCAACTTTCTCTTCCACTCAATTTCCTTGGAAGTGTTTATCGTGAGACTATACAGAGTTTAGTTGACATGAAGTCAATGTTTCAGTTACTTGAGGTATATTCCTGATTGAGCTTCATTAAAGTTATCTCGCTGTTCATTTTTAATGCATTGATAGTTAACAGAAGGTTGGTTCATATTACCTTGGTACACTCTTGTGCTTAAAGGTTTGTGGCTTAAACTGTCACCTTGTGTGTCCAGGATTTGGGCAAGTCTAATTTTTGCATTTTTATATGGATAAATATATAGTTTCTTCCCATTTTCGTTCATTTGAGTTCATTAGTTTCTTCATCATTTCACTGTTTTAAGATGCTATGCTTTGTTCTGAAAGGACTACAGTATTTGGGATTCTCCCACTGGAGAAATGCCAACAAAAGATGTCCTCAATGACTAGTTCCTTTATTGATTTTGGGAACTTACCTATTGCTTGCAATATGATCATATTTTTTCCAGCAATTCTCTCTGCCTGCTTGATCACGTTATCCTGACCATTTTTCTTTTCTCCAACTCTTACTCTAGGAAAGAGCTGATGTTAGGGATAAAGACAATGCAAAGCCACTTGAATTAAATGGAGGGAGCATAGAGTTTGAAAATGTACACTTCAGGTAGTTGATTCTTTCTTTATTACCTGCTGCTGCAAAGACTCTAATGGCCTACATGCTGACTGCTGTCTAATGTATTTGGTGTTGCCACTATTCTGGAGGGAAAATGCTTTTTCTTGTTTTTCAAGATTAGAGTGGACAAAAGGATAAAGCAAATGCGAAACAAAAGTATATTTTAGCGGCAGCTGTCTTATTATCTGGATGTGGCACGTCTATGCCTTGTTTGCTTAAAATAGGTCCACTTATTAAGTGTGGAGTTTGTACATATCTATTTTAGAATTCTATGGATTAAAATTGTGATAAAATTAATATATACTGATTATTCTTAAATATTTAATTACGAATTCCATATTTCTTAAGATGTTTGAGAGATTCATTTTTATTAAAATTTGAAGTACTTAACTACTCCCTCCAGTCCTAAATGTTAAAGGCCGGAGCTAGTTAACTAATTTAATTAATGAAGCAGAGAAAAGAGTTTGAGGTCTTACAAATGGAACCAAAGCAAACTCCTGAACTAGCTCCTACATTAAAGGCCAGAGGGACTGTTAAACATGTGGGTTTCTCAAATTATATTAAGAATCAAATGGTATAGGAAGAAGCAATTGTGTTTGAGAATCTTGATGCTGATGCCTAAGAGAAATGCCACAAGGAGATGGCGAATGATATGGAGCAATCATTGAAAATTACCAAGTAAATGCCTTTTGTTTCATTTATATTTGGTTCTCTTTAGATTTTCTTATTTTGACCTTTTCTTTCCTCAAATGCCTTCTATTTTCATTTTTTCTTATCCGTCTAAGTTGTATATGACGTTTCATAGGAAAAAAATCATAAAATAAATAAATAAATAAATAAAAATCAAGAGACCATTGGTGCAAGTTTGATTGGTTAAACCAATTCAATCAGACTTGCCAATTCAGTTGGTTTCCTCAATGCCAGTTGTAATGCATAATGCTGCTTTGAATCTTCCAGGGATTAGCATTGCAACTCTGTTATAATGCTAACTTGTTGGTAAATAAAATTTATAATTAACATCAGTTTGATGAATTATTGATGCATTTTGTCCCCCCAGTTACCTTGCAGAGAGAAAAATACTTGATGGAATATCTCTTGTTGTGCCAGCCGGAAAAAGTGTGGCAATTGTAGGAACTAGTGGCAGTGGTAAGGTTCAGCATGAAGGATTACTGGAATTACACCAGATTTCTTCACTTTCTTTAATTATATTGCTTTCTGATATTTACTTCTTTTTTTTTCAGTTGGAGAAACTTTCACTTCATTATAGTTACTTTATTTTTTGTATCTTATTATATGATTTGATGAAATATTTATGGTTATATGCTTTGAGGCCCTTGGGTATGGTGTCTATGATTTATTGAGAAATGGCTGCACCAGGCCCCATTTTTAAGGCATTTAATTTTTGTATGCTGAAACCCATACTTCTGCGTGCTCATTTTTTTACTTGTACGTTTGTAATGTAATACTTATATATGTGCAAAATATCTTAATTGTTGATGGGTACTTCGCTGTTTGAAAGCAACAATGGTGAAGCAATAAGATTAGCTCTGGCAAAAAAAAAAAAATAAAAAAAATGATATATTGAAATAAAAAGAATAATAATAAATTAATGATGAAGCATAAGTCTATATCCATGCATTTATTTTTGGAAGGGTGGATAGCTGGTTTTTTGCTTTCTTTGAAGATATGGTTTTTTGCCAATGGCCGTTGAGATGAATTTGAGATTTTTATGCTGTTGAAGTGAGGACCCCTAATGCCATCCCTTCCATTAATCATTTAAATTCTTTGTATGATGGTAAATTAAGCTGTAAAAATCTTCCAATTTTCAAAATTGTGTTGTCCGGATAATGTTGGCAAGAACTTGTGGGGGTGTCAGTAAAGCAAGGATTTTTCCTGTGAAGTAAATTAGGCCATGTCTTGTATGATTGTATCTTATCGGCAGTCTCTATACTTGTGCTTTTGCTTCTCTTGGTTGCGTGTATAGTCTGCGGCAAGACAGAAACTAGGTAATTTTGGTGTTTCACTGTAAATAGAGATTTTTCGTCTGCTCTTGAGTTTTTTGGCAAAAGGAGGGTAAAATCTTGTTGAGATATATCATGTGTTAGTATTATGTATTCAGTGGGAAAGAAGTGGGATTTTTTTAAAGAGAATTTTTGCATTCATTCATTATGATATTATCTGATGTTCAATATTTCTCTGATATTAAAAATATGTATGTCCTTGACAGGTAAATCAACCATTCTTAGATTGATCTTCAGGTTTTTTGACCCTCATTCCGGAAGTGTAAGAAATGAACTCATAAATCTAATCTTAAGCTAATTTTAGCTATATTGGTAATTAATATTCATAGTTAGCTGACGGCATACGAGTTCTGAGATCCACCATTGTTTAATATACATGCTATATGGCACCAAAGCCAAGTGTTTACTACTATAAGAAAATAAGTTGCAAGTGATCTGGTTACGTGCTCATCAATAAGGAGAATTATTGTTTTTGATTCATTATGTTCCTTTCTTAGACAAGGATCTGTATAAAAACTATCCACAAATAGCATGACACAGTTGATAGTTACAATTCAATGATCCTGGGCATGGAGTGTATGCAACATTTCAGCTAATTCTTTGATTGAAGCTGAATGCAGATGTGTCACCTGTCTGATGCACTTGAACTTTCTATGGTCAGATTGAGCTCTTGTGAATGAATGTGATAGGAATTTGTTATGATTTACTTGGCCTAATTTAATTTTCCTTTGCTGGAAATTTGATTATATTATTTATGAATGTGCTAGTTGGTGCTGGTTATGTAAAATTTTGGAAGTGGTTATTCATTTAATTACTAGAATGGGAATTACTTTCTCCGAATTTCTCAAGCCCTGTTTGTGCTCTACAGATAAAGATAGATGGTCAAAATATCAAGGACGTAACCCTTGATAGTCTTCGGAAGTTTATCGGTGTTGTTCCGCAAGATACTGTAAGTTCAGTGAATCATTTGTCTCCTTTTGATCTGCGTCACTTCATTGCCCACATGATAACTCAGATGCTTTGAAAACCTGAGTGATTATGATCATGTGCAGGTACTTTTCAATGATACAATTTTTCACAATATCCATTATGGTAGACTTTCAGCAACGAAAGAGGAAGTAATCTATGTTTCTCCTTAATTTCCCCTCTATTCACATTTTGAACCTGCAAATTTTAGCTGTGGCATGTCAAGTTGCTCTCTTAGCTTAAAGCATTCTGTATACAGGTCTATGAAGCTGCTCAAAAAGCCGCAATTCATGACACTATCATGAATTTTCCTGAGAAATATTCAACTGTTGTGGGAGAGCGAGGGCTCAAGGTGACAGCATTTCCTGTTTACTGCATCTAGTATATCTATATTAATACATTTGGGAGTTTTTGGTGTCTTATCATGAGATTTTAAAATAATAATGGGTGGTTAATATAAAGATGATGGGTTAGTAAACAATTGCTGCACATCTAAAGTGATTCTTGTGTTTTAGCAGCAAAAGAAAGAAGTGATTCTTGTGACAGAAAATATTTAATAACAAGACCAACAGACACTAGCATAATTGAGGACATTCGAGACAAAATTAATTCGGAGGACTGAATTAGCAACTTTCTTTGGAATGAAATGGATTTGAAAAGAAAAAATGCTAATCATGTTGTGGCAGAATTTTATTTTGTTGATCAAGTGGAAGTGTTGAGATACATATACATACATACATACATACATATATATATATATATATATATATTATTTTTGGGTTTAAAATTACATTGGAAAAGGGATATATTCTTCTACGTTAGCAATTTATTAAACTTTTCTTTGATGGATTTCTTGCACAGTTAAGCGGTGGTGAGAAGCAACGTGTCGCCTTGGCTCGAGCGTTTTTGAAAGCACCTCCAGTTCTGTGAGTATTCTGATTATTTCATTGAGACATTGACGAGTGATGACTGTCTTCTCTTGTATTTTAGTCATGTATTGTTAAGCGTGATGGTCGAATTGTACTTAAAGCATCTAATAGAGAAAGAAATGGACTTCAGAGATTCAGCAAATGACAAAAATAAATCAATCATGATTAGAAATTCAATTGAAGTCCCGAATCAAAATAAGAAAAAAAAAGAAAAGAAAAGAAAGTCTATTGAAGTCATGGATTTAAGGGGGAATAAATCAAAACTAATGATCAAGCAATTGGGGAAATAAATCAATTTTATCAAGGAAGGACGGAATAATCTTTTATAATGAAGAGTATGAAATGAATGTTGATATTCACAATTATTCAAAAAAAAAAATTGTCATTTTCAGATTTTGTCTCTGGATTTATATCTATGCTACACTTGAAAGTAGCATAAAACAAGCCATCTTTTAATTAATCTTAGTTGCTTCTTGTTTTTGCTCTTAGGTTATGCGATGAAGCTACGAGTGCACTTGACAGCACAACGGAAGCAGAGATATTAAATGCTTTGAAATCTTTGGCAAATAATCGCACTTCCATATTCGTTGCTCACAGGCTTACTACTGCAATGCAGTGTGATGAGGTTACTGCCTTTTCTATGTTTATGTCCTTAATTTTGTGGTGCTTTGTTTTTTACATATATCCAATACTCCTCTCTGTTCTTTAAACTTGTCCTTGTTTCGAAGAACATTGTTCCTTGGGCATCTACATATGACAATGATTCATTAATTGCACTGGAGTACGGTAAATTTTTTTGTGCCTAGGAAAATATTGTACGAACATGCCCACACAAATAATGATAGTTGCACAGTTTTTTCTTGTGATCCTCCTGATTGGGCAGTGGCTGCATTTGTGCCACAGTAGCTCCACACATGAAAGTTTTTAGTAGATCCATTTGAACACAGGTTTTGCCACCTATGAAAGTATTTTGGCCTTGTGTAAGAAAAAAATTGTTGTGCAATAAGAACGCTACTCCATTTGCACCATAATGACTTTTTGGTATCTTTCAAGCACAAGAAAAAAGTCTTGGTAAATTTAATCTTGAAAAAGCAAGTACACGAAGCTTATCATGAATAGACAATTTAGCATGTTAGGATTTAGCTCTTGCAAAAAGTTGTGCTCCATATGCTCCAGCAAGTACCTTCTCATAGTTAACTTTGGTTTCCTATCTTTAAAAACCAATGAATCAATGAGAATCAGTCTAAATTCAAAAGATATATCAACTATGTCTTTTAATTCAGCTCATAAATCCTTACTTTCTTTTCAAGTTATCCTTAAACTGTATGCTATAGTCAATTTAATATTCTTACACCCATTGTCAGATCATAGTGTTGGAAAATGGAAAGGTGGTTGAACAAGGACCACATGAACTGCTTTTATCCAAGGCAGGAAGATATGCACAACTTTGGGCACAGCAAAATAACACAGTTGATGCAGCGATGAAAGTTGAGGCATGAAACTAGGCAATCCCTTCTCTCTTCCTTCTTGTCAGAAGCGAACAATGCATAACAAATAAGAGGCAAACAAGATTTATGGTCTTTGAGGGCAGCATCTGAATTAACAGTCTTCAAGTTTGTTTCCTCTAAGGAGTTTTGCTGGGCTGTATTATGTTTCATATTGCTTGTTAGACATGTTGATGCATTATCCCAGTATTTGGGATAATAGCAGCAATTCTTGGCGACCTCATGTTTCATTTTCTTACCAATATTGGTGTTTGTGGGCACATTTTTTCTTTTTTCTTTATTTTTTTTAAAATTTTGATTTAGGGTTTATAGCAGTTGAAGTTTTACAGCAAACCTGGAAGGAGTTATGCTGTCCTCTGTTATATTTCATATCGTTGATGCATGGGTTCAGACTTCAAATGCAGAATAATACTAGCGACTCTTGGCGGACATATATTATCATTTTCCTATCGAAAATAGTGAAAGGTAAAATTTAAAAAAGAAGTAATTAATAATTTATTTTTAATGGAAAGTAACTTGTAAAAGGAATCTTGAATTTCTACTAGAAGATGACTTGTATGTAAAACTATAATTAGTATTGTGAAAAATGATTGCATTTTCAAAACCCAAATTCTAAATCTTTAATTAAGTTGATACAACAATTCTTGTGAGTTGAGCCAAACACTTGATGGTTATCTTTAATAAGATTTTTAAGTTTGGGTGTGCCTACATGAAATTTGAATTGCATTTGTCATTGGAGTATTTATTTTGTTTGCAACCATGGAAGAGATTTAGTTGGTTCAGAGACACGAGCTTAATTGAAATGTGGATCAAGAAGATTCGGTGAAGATAAAATTGACTTCCACGGATGGTGTGACAAATTGAAAAAAATAAGCTTAAAGGTTAAGCAAAGTAGAGACACCTCAATGAAGAATATATAACAGGCCGACGCACGCATCCATTGAGTTTATTACACACCATTATCTTATATAAATTTGAGCGATTCTAACAAAACAAGCACGGTGAAGCAAAAGAGAATGGCATCCCCTTCACAGGAAAACTCTATTTCCTTCAACACCGATTTCTGTTTGCAATTGGCATACAGAGTTCTTGAGAAACAACTTGAAAAGGGTTCTAATTTCGTGTCATCTCCACTTTCTCTTCACATAATATTGAGCATTGTTGCTGCTGGATCACAAGGAAAAACCTTAGAGCAGCTTCTTTCATTTCTGGGATCAGAGAGTAAAGACGATCTGAATTCAGTGTCTTCACAACTTATTTCTAGCTTAAGGCATGTTGAGGGCACTGAAAGTGGAGGTCCGATTCTGTCCTTTGTTAATGGCGCTTGGGTGGAAAAAACGTTTGGTTTGAAGACTAGTTATGAAGAGGTAGTCAAAAATAGTTACAGAAGCCAAATTGAAGTGGCTGACTTCATAAACAAGGTACTCTTTGATTATTCATCTTGTGTTTCTTTTCCTGCACTTAACTCTCTTTCCTTTTCCTCTTAGATTGCAACTTTTTACATGTTACCTCATCGAAGTGGAACTGTATAGAGAATAAATTTCAAAGCCTTAATTCGATTGATTCTATGGAATTTGTTCACCAGGCTGATAAAGTTGCAGAAGAAGTGAACTCATGGGTTGAAAATGCAACTAAGGGACTCATAAGGGAGATTCTTCCATCAGGTTCCATAGATCAGGAAACAAAGCTACTTCTTGCCAATGCACTGTATTTCAAAGGAGCATGGGACAGTGAGTTTGATCAAAACATGACAAGAACCAGAAGTTTCAATCTTCTCAACGGGCAGATTGTACGAGTTCCCTTCATGACCTCCGAGAGAAATGAAAAATATTATTACAGATCATATGAAAATTATAAAGTACTCACCATTCCTTACCAAAGTGGTAGCAACCCTTTGAAGTTTGCCATGTATTTCTTTCTTCCTCATGAGAAGGATGGCTTACCAAATTTAATTCACACTTTAAGCTCGAACCCCAGATTTTTAAATAAAAAATTTAAACTGCGGAAAGAGAAATTTTCAAAATTTTGGATCCCAAGGTTTAAATTTTCCTTCAACTTGAAAGCCACAGAGGACATGGAAGAATTGGGACTAACCTTGCCTTTCACTGCTGGGGAGCTAACAGAAGTATCAGATTCTTCATCCAGTAACGAGCTTTATGTTTCGAATATTCTGCAAAAGGCATTTGTTGAAGTTAATGAGGAAGGAACAGAAGCTGTAGCCAGCACAGCAGCTATGATTACGTTGACCTCTTATGTCAGGCCGCGCCTGCGAAGCTTTGTGGCTGACCATCCCTTCATGTTCATGATAAGGGAAGAGACTTCAAGGGCGGTGTTCTTCATTGGAGCAGTGCTTAACCCCTTGAATTCTTAAGCAAAGCACTAATAAGATACTTATAGTGAGAATGAGTGGTGGTGTGTTTTATAATCTATATATGATAGGTAAAGAATAAATAATAAGTAGTTTAGTTAGTTAGATTCTGCAAGACTATATGATAAAGGAGCCTACATAAGGGATCCCAAGTGTGAGTCAGATGCTGTGCTTAATTTGAATCAAAAATATTGTTCAGTCTCTCTCTATTCTCTGTTTTTCTCTTTCTATTCTACCTATCTCACTCTTCTCTCTTTCTCTCGTCTGTTTATATGAAATTTGAGTTGGTGAGATGTAAAACTGGGATGGATTGCTATTAAGTTGTACAATTAATAGTTTTTTTGTTAGTATGATTTATTGGAGCTTCTATATTTGATCTTGAATTTGTTTACGATATTGTAATATATTAATTATACTACATAAGTTCTAACAGGATCCTTAAATGTTAAGCTCTCGATAGATCAATGAAAAAAATCCATAAGAGGCCAGCACGTATATTTATTAAGTTTATGAATCAAAATTCATTCTCTTGTAACTTTAGGCAAGCCAAACAAAACAATCACATTAAATTCTATGAATTAAATTCAGTGCTCCTAAAAGAGGTACCTGCAGGCTAGTCTGGCCCCAAGGAGGTGCCCATAGGCAGGGGTGGAACCAGACTAGGAAGGCTGGGGGGCCAATTTTGTAATATGTAGTTATATATAGATCAAGTTATTTAATTTTTATTAATAATTAAACATAATTTTACAATAGAATTGAGAAAATTTATAAGATAACAATTCATTTATATAAGACTTAAAAAATAAGAAAAGAACTTTCCAAAGTATATAAAAAAATCGCGTTATAAAATTTAAAGAAATTAATAATATATTTTTATTTTTATTTACTATTATTTATAAAAATATTTTTTAAATTTTATTTATAAGTCAATTTTAACATGTTTTATTGAAACCGAGAACATTTTAAAACTTATTAACTATGTTTAAAAATTTAATAAGTTTTTAATTTCGGTCCTATTAAATGTATATACTTTAATAATATACTTTATCTCTCCAACATTTAATAGAGGATAAAATAAAAAATTTGTGATAAAAATTTAATTCTTTCACTTATAAATAGGATAAACAAAATACTCATCTCTCTATTCTATAAGTGAAAAGGCTACACATGAGCAAGGACTAAAAGGTAAAGAATGTATACTTGCATTGGGACTAGAGAGTAAGAAATACATAATGAAGATATGATAAAAGTGAAAGTTAAAAGATTGAGGGGCCAAAGCAGTAATTTTTCCTTATAGAAAATCATCCAATAAGTTGATAAAAAAATTTTAAAAAAAAATCTGGGGGGGCTGTGCTAGGTCCGCCCTGCCCATAAGTTACCAACTTGATTAGTTTGGGTCAAAGATTTAGGATATTAGGGGGAGGGGAAAAAAAATAAAAAAGCCAAGCACATTGAAGCTTAAGAGAATGAAATCCTCTTCACAGAGATAAACTATTTCCTGCAACTCCAATTTCTGGTTGCAATTGGCATATAGAGTTGTTGAGAAACAAATTCAACAAGGTTCCAATTTTGTGTCATCCCCACTTTCTCATCATATAGTACATGTTCCAAAAATGCAACACTTGAATGGTTTAAATCCTTCTTTCAAACCTGTGTCACATCTCTATTATAACAATACAATCTGTCAGGAATATGTATACAGTTTACATATCCTTAAGTAGTTTTGATTTTTGAATTACTTGAAATTCCGTGTGAGAAAGGTGATGAGATAACCTAGCAAGGCTATGAGTATTTTTTTTTTAATGAAGTATTAGTATGTAAATAATATCTCTGTTTATCATGATTTATGAAGTATTTAAAAATTTTATCTAAAAACACAAAGTAACTCCCCAAAACAAGTAATGAACACTTGCATGAGTGTTCTCTCGGCGTTCCTGGCAAGCCCTTCCTGCATCTACGTCTACTCCAGAAGGTTAACCCAATGTGAATAAGTTAATTTCCTTAGCACTGTCTCGACTCTGGGGCGATCACGAGTCTGAATTGAAACAGTGAGACATTGGTTTTTAAAATGGGGGCAAATATGTCATTTTCAAGAAAAATTTAAATGTCAGACAAGTCTCTGGTGAGCTTACATGCTGCTAACTATAAGACCATTAACTCCCTTTACTTTATTCGCAACTCTAAGAGAGCTTATTTTAGTTTGTGCAGAGACATAAGAACTTAATTGAAGTGCGAATAGGATAAATAGATCAAGAAGATTCGGTGAAGATAAAATCGACTTCCATGAATGATGTGACCAAAGAAAAAAAAATAAAAAAGAAAAGCTCACCCTTCATAATATCTATGGATGCTTAAAAAAATAAAACAAAAAATAGAAGTAAAGTAAAACAAAGAAGCAATCAATTCCTTTTCCTAGGGGGCACAAAATAAACAATATCAAATGTCTAATACAAAATTTAATAAATAAATTGTATTATTTTCTACTTATGATTCATGAACATTACAGCTTGTTAAATTTTTATATTTCATACAAAATTAATAACATTGTAACAAGTCTTGTGTGTTGTGATATTTATATATTGTAATATATTAATTGTATCCTTAAAGGTTAAGCAAAATATAGACAGCTCAATGAAGAATATATAACAGGCCGACCCACACATCCATTGAGTTAATCACACACCATTATCTTATATAACTTTGAGCGATTCGAACAAAGCAAGCACGGTGAAGCAAAAGAGAATGCATCCTGATAAGATTCCTAAAGATTTATTCGCGAAAGAAATGACAAAGGATAAATTAAATCTGATTTTGTTATTTAGTTTTTGATTTAAGATTATGTTATTTAATTTACATATTATCTAGGAGATTTTATTAGATTTATATTTTTATTCATTTATTGAGATCTTATTTAGATTTAGATTTTTATTTAGTCTTCTATTATCTAGTTATTTAGATTTAGATTTTTATTCTTTCATTGTCTAGCGATCTAAATTTCATTTGTATTCACCCTTATAAATATGCTTAGCAACTCAGAAGCTAGCATATCATTATCAATAAAACATCTTTTAAACCTTTTGGAGATTCTCCTGAGTGTGGCTATTGAGAAAAATATAGAATGAGATTGTTGTTCCATATTATCTAAATAAAATTGTTCTTCTTGTTTCCTTTTATCATGAAACTCTGCCTATGTTTATAGCCGGTCCCAAGCCCGGGTAAAGGAGGAAGGTTGTGTTAGGTCATCAACAGCCAATGTAAAACTTTGTTGAATCTATCATGAACATGGACAATAGACGTTATAATGTTAATGCTAGGTCGTTGCCCGTAAGTAACGCGCTGCATGGCTCGAGTACAGTGATAAGTGAGTTAGAGCTGCTGCATCGGCGCCCGAATGTAGTGTTAAATGAGCAAGGGCTACCGCGTCATTCTGGACGCACGCGGCTAAAGAAGTTAGTCCATAAAAGCAAAATTAGATTTGGTACTTGGAATGTTGGGACATTAAATTGTAAATCTGTAGAGGTTGTAGGGGTTATGATTTAAAGGAAAATCAATATCCTTTGCCTGCAAGAAACAAAATGGCGTGGAGAAGAAGCTAAGGATATTCAAGGTTTCAAACTTTGGTATACAGGAAAAGTAAGTGCACGCAATGGAGTAGGCATCATTATAGATAAGGAGTGGAAGAAGAACGTTGTAGAAGTTAGCAGAATTGAAGACAGAATTATTTCCTTAAAAATGATAATTGGACGTGAGACTGTTAATATTGTTAGCGCTTATGCGCCACAAGTCGGGACAGAAGCCAGTCTTAAGGAATTATTTTGGGAGGATCTGGAGGGGTTGATTCGACACATACCACAGAGTGAAAAAATTTTTATTGGAGGAGACTTTAATGGGCATGTTGGGAGGAAAGCTGGTCAGTATGCGAGGGTGCATGGTAGTTTTGGTTTTGGAGAGCTAAACAATGAAGGACAAACTCTTCTTGATTTCTCATTGGCGTATGATTTTAAGATTGCCAACACTCGTTTCAAGAAGAGAGATGAGCATCTCATCACTTACAAAAGTGGAGCCTCAAGGTCACAGATTGATTTTCTTTTAGTTAGGAACACAGATAGAAGACTTTGTAAAAATTGTAAAGTGATCCCCGGAGATGTTGTAACGACACAACATAGGGTCCTAGTCCTTGATGTGTGTATTATGAGTAAAATCCAAAAACGTCGACAAGTAGTAATACTAAGGATTAAGTGGTGGCAATTAAAAGGTGAGAAGTAAGATATTTTCAAGTGAAATCTTTTAGATAAAGGAATTTGGGAATCTCAGGGAAGTGCTAACATCATATGGGAGGATATGGCTAAAAAGATACGGGAGGTTGCAAAAGTAGTTTTAGGAGAATCGAAAGGTTCTGGTTCGAGAGATAAGGAGTCTTGGTGGTGGAATAATAGTGTACAGGACAAAATCAAGTATAAGAAAAACTGTTTTAAAACCATACATTTGTGTAACAATGAGGAAAATTGGGAGAAGTACCGTATGGCTAAGAAGGAAACTAAGAGAGCTGTGGGTGAAGCTCGTTCTAAAGCTTTTGAAGAATTTTATAAGATCCTTGAGACAAAGGAAGGAGAGCAAAATATCTATAAGATTGCCAAGAGTAGGGAAAGAAAATCAAGAGATCTAGAACAGGTAAGGTGTATTAAGGATGAAGAGGGAAGAATTTTAGTTACAGATGATGAAATTAAAAATAGATGGGAGACTTACTTTTCTAAACTTTTCAATGATGGAGAGGATTCATCTAGTAACTTGAAGGATTTAGTAACTGGTGAAGGAGAACAAAATTTGTCATTCTATCGAATAATACGTGATAAGGAGGTAAAGGAAGCTCTTAAGAAAATGGCAAATGGTAGAGCCAACGGACCTAATTGTATATCTATCGAAGCGTGGAAATATTTCAGTGAAGAAGGGGTGAAATGGTTAACTAAGTTATTTAATGTGATTTTACGGTCCAAGAAAATGCCTGATGAGTAGAGGAGAAGTAAATTAATTCCTATTTATAAAAATAAAGGAGATATTCAGAATTGTACTAACTATAGAGGGATTAAACTCATGAGCCACACAATGAAATTGTAGGAGAAAGTAATTGAGCACAGGTTGAGATTAGAGACAAGTATTTCTGAGAATCAATTTGGTTTTATGCCAGGTAGATCAACTACAGAG